ACATTCAACCCCGGTCTACAAGGTCCCCTTGGACGAAGCAACCCATGGCTGCCGACAAGGATCCTTCCGTCAGGTTGGGTCGACTACCTCCTCTGACTAAGTAGACCAGGGACCACGATGGCCCGGGATGACGGAACCATGGGATCTTGATCGGGTCTATCATCCATTCCCCCACCATCCGCTTTAAGTGCTAGATGGTGAAATTTCTACTTTAAATATCAAACTCTCTCTAAATTCCCAAATTCAAATCCAGTTCTCAAGTACCCAAATCAAAACCCAATTTCCAAATCCAATTTCTATCAGTATCCAATCTATTGCTGCTACTATATGCCAGATACACGTATCTCTATACGTATCTGATTGACGACTAGCCTTAATCGAAAGTTCTCTCGTGATCGGGAGGGGTAATTAACTATAGGGGCTTGCGCCTATAGGAAACCAGAACTCGGATCATATAAGTCCTCACAAAATGAGGGCGAAATCTCTGGGTAGTGTCTTATCTACAAACCCATCTGCCTTCCAAAATTTACCTCGGAACTTAGTTCGTTAAAACTCCCTCGTCGAATAAGAAGAGCGTGAGCGGAGGCCGGGGCCGAATTTTTGGAGCCCACATTCCCTTGTTGCAATCCACTGTTTTGGGGTTGATTTCGCCCAGATTTTTCTTTATTCCTGCTTTTTTTCTTCAAATTAGTGGTAGGTGTGCTTGCGAACTCAAGTATTCCCTTAGGGTTACTTGCGAACTCAAGTATTTCCTATCACTACCCTATATCCATAGGTTTGTTAGACAACCAAAACTTAGTCATTCACCATGAGCAAATGCAGGTCCATGAATATTGTTAAGTTGAGGACTGCGAGAGCGACTTGACTTATTATCCTCTCTTGATCCTAAACCCATCATCTGTGCTCTAATAGCAAATTGGCATAATACCACTTAACCGTGGCAACCTAATTCAAAAGCTTGAACTTATGGAGAAGGCACAACTGAGACTTTGAAACAAATCGTCCAAACGTCCCAAATCCAGAAGGGCACCACAATACCCATTAATCAATCATTCATAGTGGCCAAATGTAGGTTTATGACTTAATCCTAAATCATGACATTACAAGAGTTATATTGTCCACTTGATGGTCATGTGTCTGTGTATGCTTTATGGATATGCCCTAAAACATTGTATTCATTCCACAATCAAAAATACAAAGAGCTCTAGTGAATAAGACAGCAATTTGCTCTGTAACATGGTATTGGCGCCAAAGTAGCCATAACTCCTTAACCTAATCCCACGAGTCCGCTCCTAGTCTCACGACACCTTGTATTCATTCCACTGTTAAAAATACAAAGACCACTAGTGAATAAGATAATAATTTTCTCCTAAAACATGCTGTGAGAACCAAATTAGCCCCAACTATATATATCGATTCCATAAGTCCGCTTCCACACTCACTCACAATGCTTGAGAGTCTATCGACTTAAACAAAATTAGCAAGCTTGGGTTCTTAGGTTTGTTGACGTTTATTTTAGCGTCGAACTCAAATTGGGCTCGATCACACTCGATCAAGCGTCGTCAAACTAAAATTGACCCAAATCAAGTTTTAATTTAATCAAATTAAACTCAATTTTATCAAATTAAAATCAAATCGATCAAATCGACCCAAAATCGGTTCAAATCGAACCTAATCAAACCTCTTTGAGCCTCTTCGAACCAAATTCAACGCAATTCAATGCTAATTTGAGTCAAATTTCGCAAAATTGGCTCGATCAGACCCAAATACCTAAATCAGTTTTAGTCAAGTTCAATTTGAGCTCAAAATCAGCCCAATTTGACTTTCCAAATCAGAGATTTGAATTGACGACCTCGATCTCCTCAATTTCAGATGTTTGTACGTGCCGCTTCTCTTCAAATCACGCAGTGGGATTTCTGACCCTCGGGGATATGAAATCTGAGAGTAGAGCTTTATTCCGCGCATAGAGAGAACGAGATTAGCAGCATTAGCGTGTCTTCTGCTTGGGTGACCTAGCCGAATAGAGACATGAGAGGGAAAGAGGTGTTCGGCCTCTCTTGCATGCGCGCATCCCATATAGAGCGTGAGAGAGGCAAACGAACAATTTGTTCGCCTTGCTCATGCGTCTGTCCCAGAGAACAAAGGAACGGAGCCTTGCAGCTCTGTCTTGCTTGTGTGCTGGTCTTCTAGCTGAGGCAGGAGGAGGCGAAGGCGGAAGTCCTTTTCCTCGTACACGTGCGGCCCGGCAGAGGTAGCCAGCTTGGTCGGCTAGGGTTCGGACAAAGCAGCTCTTCCGGAAGCCCTCTGCTGCGTGCGATTGACTAGAGGCGGCTAGGACCAAGCAGTAGAAGGCTTCTTCTCCCGTGTACGTGTGTTGAAGCCCGACCACACTCGAGTAGAGCAGGGCTGTCGGGCGGCTTCCCCTTCACAACAGAGGATTTGGGAGCTTCAGGTTTGTTGTCTTCCCTCTCTTCTTACACTCAAGAAGGGCATGGGGGTTTCTTCCTCCATCATCTTTGGCGGCCTCAAGACAGTAAGGAAAGTAGTTAGAACATTATGGACAACAGTTTAGAGCATCGTAGACAGCATAAGCGACTTCCAAAAGCACTCAAACAATGGATACAGCAGCTTGGACACCTTGGACAGCAATTTTCTCCTCCCTCCCTTTGATTTCTTCTCGCCTTTTGATAAGACGAGTGGATAGTTGTTGGCGCTGTGACAACCCGACGAGGTAATATCCCTTAAAACTTAGTATACCCCTAAGTCTTTTGGCCATTTGATGTGGTTGACGTCCCACGAACCCTTAGGTCCATAGAAACCTTGCATTTAAATTTCTAAAACCCAAAATAACCGCTGCCTTTTTCGTAAAACAGTTGAAATCCGGTGATTTCTATTTGTTGGCTCTCATGTGAGAGTTCGAGGAGGAGGATGATGTGCGTAGAGGTGTTGGATTGGTGTCCAACACCTTTCAAAATGCATGATATCGCATTCATGTTGCATCTTCTCCGTCACCTACCACTAAACCCCAAAGTTTAGAAGATTTCATTTGATGATTGAATAAACAACAAAACATATATCCTTTCCAAGGTCACGTGATTTGTTTTATCTCTTAGATTTGTGTGTTATAACAAAATTAACACACATGCATAAGAGGCTTGCATCATTAACACTTGTGACTTTCTCCGAAATTGCTAAACATTCAAGTGTGCACTTTAATTAGTCTATACATTGGTGGAGTTTTTCAAAAACACTCGTGTTGAAGTTTCAAAGTCCATAATGTATAGGTAAACTTGAAGTCATCCTTGATGATTCTTCCAAATTTTGAGAGATGAAACAAGTAAAATATTAATCCAAATTTCTGCATACTTAATCCAATTAGTTTGCATCATTCAAATCCTAAATGAACGCATGCTGAGGATTCATTTGCTAAGATTGTTGCATGCCTAAGATTCGTAAAATCACAAACATGTTTATCGAGTTCATAAATGCTTTAAAAACAAAGGTGGAGTGTTATATGGCATCCAAAAGCTCATAGATTATACCCCCATCACACATTGAAGTTTGTTAAAGATGTTTGGTGTAATTTCCAAGTTGAAGGGTTGAATTCAAGGACAAATAATTTAAGCATTTGATTTTAGAACCTCCAAAAAGTCGTAAGAATAAATCTCTCTTATCCAAATCTTCTAATCATGCCAAAAATTGATTTAAGAATCTTTTTTCAATGCATTGGGAGCTCTCTAGTAGATCCTTCTATTCCTCATGCATGATGGTTTGGAGCATCTCAAGGATCCAAAAACTTCATTGCATGAATCATTTTAACTTATGATCAAAATCCTAGGTTCATGTCATTTTATTTGTTAATACAAAATCAATAAGCAAACTTTTCTCCTCTCTTTCATGCATGAACAATTTGGAGCATCTCAATGCTTCAAATATTTCATTGCATGATCTATCAATCATCCACTCTCTCCTCTCATATATGATGATTTGGAATTCTCCAAAGTTCTAACATATCATTATATGAAGAACTTGGAGCTTAGAGCAAGCTCCCTCTATCATTCGTTGAGACACAAAATCAACGAATGAATATCCTCAGGCCTAGGATTCTGATCTAGCCTATCACATTTGCCTAACCTAACATAGGTAAATGATCTTGCGTCTTTGAGTACAAAAATCGATGATTGCCTCTTGATTTGTAGTTCTAAAACTATAAATTATCTTTAGACCTGGGTTGCTACTTGTCTATTGGGATAGATCTGAATCCACCTTAGCTAACGGAGGGTTTTATGCCCATCAAATATACTCTATAATTCATTGCTCAAGGGTTTTATGCCTTTAGGGAACATATGGGCTTTAGCCGTGATCGTAATATAATAGTGTCACTTTGTGACAAAACAACCCGATCAGAGGCCACGTGCCACATCCCTGCTATCAAGAGACTATTTAATGATGAATCTTAATGATACACCCCGACGCACATTCGTTCTTTATGAACTGAGGTTAATTTCAAATTTATCACCCCCAACAAACGATTGCGGAAGATGAATGATTTTTAGTTTTAAGTTTTTAGGTGATATTAAGAACTTTTGACTTTTATTGGATTTGAGATTTGACCCCTCCG